ATGCCATATTGTATTATTAATCTATTAAATGGAACAAAGTCTGCACCCTCAAATATATGTTCCAGTAGTTCAACTCCTTTCCTGTTCAATGCTTTTTCCCTGTGCCATTCCACATTATTACAAATAACTTCATTTCTGGACATTTATGGTTTGATTTCTTTGTATGTATGGATCACTTGGGTTGTTACCAACATCTGGTGAAAAATTCATGTCATTAGCACCTCTAGTAATATATTTACTGAGAAAAATGATGACRTGTCCAATACTTATTTTACCCTCTTTATGCATACACACATGGATTTTTTTTTGAAACGTACTCAAAAAACAACATCATAATGCAGTTTCAGTAGTTGTTTCCAGTTCATCTTCCACAGAATTATTAATTTGCTCTGACTTTCACATTTGTCAATGGATTTATTTCACAATCTCACATTTCCTGCACATACTTCTCAGAACATCTCTGTGTTTCACACCAAAGTCACAGGCAGTGAGAACTGAGGCAACATGAACTGCTAGGGTGCATTTCACTGCATGTATGTGGAGTTATAGTGGGTGGTCCTGAGGCTGCAGGTTTGAGTCCAGGTTGCATCAGGAAGTAGTACTTCCCAAATGAAACATATTCACACAGATATGGTTAATTGTTTTAAGTGAAAACCAAAGTAATTCATCGATTTTTTTATAAATGTTTTTTTTTTTGCTGTAAACCTTTTTGAATTAAAAATGATATATTCATATTCAATCTTAAGATAAATAAAAAAATCACTTTATGATTTWAAAAAATGGTTTTAAGCTCTTAAAATTAACAAAATTTGCAAATTAAAAATCTATCTGTGAAATTTGATCAACATTTAGAAATTGTTTGATAACTGATGAGGGAATCTGTTTAGAAAAAATTAAGTTTTTAGACAAAAATCTGGATTCATAGTATTATTTTGCACTGAGACATATTTTTAAAAGTTCATTATAAGATTATTTAAAAAAATATCACCAGTTCAGAAAATAATTTGTTTAAACAACAGTTAATGGGTTATAAAACTGATTTATTTTGCTAGCAATGATTTCTGTTTCACATGGGAGGGGGCTGAAGCAGCTCTGTGTGTTTTACAGGAGGTTGATTTGATCAAGAGCGTCCAGGCTCTTCTGAAGAGAACTACAGCCCAGGTCATCACTCAGATCAAGTGAGCAGGAAACTCAGTGTGGACCTCTTGAATGGTTTAAAACAGTTTACTTTTGGAGATTGATCTTATTATCCCCTTGTGTGTGTGTGGTGGTGGGGGGTGTTTCTGGTGACATTTGGGGGCAATTTTAAGACAAATAAGCCCACCTTTGGGGAAAACTGGTGCATTTGGGGACAAAAGTCGAGTCCCCATTCGGTTTAAATACCATTGGTGGGTTGGGGGTTGGGTTTAGGACCAAGGTGTAAATTGAG